CACACACACACACACACACACACACACACACACACAGACGGTAAGGCTTAATTTCTCTCCTTCTCCCTCTTATTCACACATACAGTTTCAGGCCGTCATCCCTCCTCCTGAGCAGCAGTGGATGAAGAGCGAGAAAGAATAAACAATGGTGCCCTCAGAGGTCTCAAGTATCGATGAATGGATCCAACTAAACTGTTATCAGTGCAAACACAAACACACAGATAGACCAACAGATTGGACAGTTGAGGCACAGCGAGAGAGAGGAAGGCAGAAAGAAAAAGACAGACATGAATAAGGGAGTGCAGAAAGAAAGAGAGAAACAGGTCAGAATACGGCAGATGGAAAAACTGAAAAGGAGGAGTGACGAGAAAACACGAGGAAGAAAGAAGGATGGGTAAACACATAATGACAAAAGAGGGAGGTGGGCAGGTGAAAATGAGCATCTGAATGACAGACGAGCTAACAGCTGATGCAGGAAGAAGAGAAACAAATCTATATAATAACTGCAGTGAGATATATGGGTGAGAAGAGGGGACTCCAAAGAAAAATGAAAGGGGGGGGACTGAAAATATGACATTCAACATTTAAACTTTGAAAACAGATCAAGTGAATTGGCTCCTAGTGCTGCACGTGTAAGTGTTTGGTGTGTGTGTGTGTGTGTGTGTGTGTGTGTGTGTGTGTGTGCCTGCCTTATTAACACACAAAACCTTTACCTGAAAGGGCAAAATCACTTGGCAATTAGTAAAATCTGATCTTTCAAACAGACAATTTTTGCTTTGTGACAGAGCCAAACAAACCCTGCATCCATGACAGTTAAAGTGACTTTTGCCATACAGTGTTGTTTGCATTTGTTCAGGTGTGACAGTTTTTGCGTGCATACTGTTCCAGCAGTCTTGACTTCACATTGTCCACATACTGTTCCCCTCAGTCTGCTTTTTCTTGCCGTCTGGGTAGGAAGTGGAGGTGGTGGTTGAGGCGGGGCTAAAAAGAGCAAGTGCACTGTTATTAACTCTTGGTAAGGGTATTTAATTTAATATTCCTGACATTTAAGGGATATTATGCAACTGACGACCTGGTGCAGATATTTCACTTCTGAAACTCAAGTTGTGACTGTAAACTTCTCACCTGTCAGTTCTTCATCCTTCAGCACTCGGATCTTCAGTTTACCTGCTGACAGCTGTTGAGGCAGCATAGAGAAACAAATCAGCTCTCAGTTTACCAACAATCCTACGCAGTGTTCAGTTTTGTGTGTATTTGTAGGTATAAACTACTGTATGTTCATACAGTAGTATGCAGCGTTAGTGTTTTACATTGCTGTATTTTATAATGTGTGAGCAAATAAATTAATAAGTTACCTCATTACTCTGCTGTTGAGAACTGACTTGAACACAGTGTCTTTGTCCAGAAACCAAGTTTCCACATTAGTATTAGGAATATCAGTCTAGATTATGGTATGGCATGATGTTTAAGAGTTAAATGTGTTTTATTCTGTCACTCTAACTCACATAGGAAAAATTAGAATGAAAATTAAAGACATATAAATATATTTTTTATCTTGACGGTACCTTTTGGAGCTTGCTCTCTTTGTCTTTCTTGGAGCCATATGAGAGAGAATTGCTTGTCATGGAACCACATTCTCCAGATGCCCATTTAATCCTTTGTGAATGTCTAAACAGAGGGAGAGGTCGATTTTTCTTTGTAAATCAAACAATCCTATTAATTTGACCATGCATATCTCATCAACAGTTACATAGCACTGATTTCTCAAAAATGACAGAAAAAAACTGCCTGAGTCCTTGATTTGTCTTGTTTATGCTTTATATCCAAAAAGACAGACTCTGATGACATTTGTTCTACACAAGATCTGTGTCTGCAGCTGAAAAGTAAAATCCAACAGAAATTCCCTTATGCAGTGTCTTGGGGATTCGGTATACCTGTTCATGCAGCATAGAGTAAATACCAATAAGTAACAATGAATGCACAGATATCTTTACATGTGCAAATTTACTTTAAAAGAAGTCTGAACACCGTTTGTATTATACCTGATTCGATTTCACAGAAACAACTGACACATCTTGCTATTCCTGTATTTTTATCAAGATGGATGTGAACAGCAGGCTGGATGTAACAACACTCAAAGCTAATGTATTTTAATCTGTTGAAGTTTCCCCATGGGGCGTGAGTATTTAATAATATTGTCAGGCATTAAGATGAGAAGAAATGTAGAAAAAAATGTCAGCAAATACGGAAAAGGGTATAAAACCTGAAGTTTCATACCTTAAATCTCTCAATATTTTTTAAAGAAATATAGATGCAGATTAGTTTTATTCAATTTTAAAAATTTTATATTTTAAGATTTTTTTTTATTTTTAGAGAGAAAGAGAAAGTAGTGGCTCATGCCTCATGCTTGGCTTTATATTGCATGATTTGGTCAAATGCAAAAGGATATTTGCCTACAATATTACAGCACAGAAGGAAGTTTAATGAATGAATTCATGAATAAATAAATGTTACATATGTGTATAAGCTTATTTCAGCCATCTTCCGCTAGTAAGCTGGGGAAGGCGGCTTAACCAGATGCTACTTGCAGGCACTGTGTATCAGGTCACACTGTGGGAAGCTGTGCATTTGGATTTTTGTGTGCCTCTCAGTGTGTGTGTGTGTGAGAGAGAGAGAGAGAGAGAGAGAGAGAGAGAGAGAGAGAGAGAGTGCGCATGACCAAGGGTTGAGGGCATGAGGCAGTTGTGCGTGTGGTGCACAGAGTTGTTATAAAAGTGTCTGTTGGGTGCTGCAGGCAGCAGGGGGTTTGAGGAGTCTCACAGCTTCCGGGAAAAAGCTGTTTCTGGCGTTGGAAGTTCTGGATCTCAAAATGTGAAACCTCTTGTGTAACGGGAGGGGGTTGAAGAGGTTGTGGAAAGTAAAGCCATTGTTGCATCTTTTTTTGTGAATGGCTATAACATGGCAGCCCCAGGTTAGATTCTCAAGCTACTCTCTCACCCCATGGAGCCAAGTAGATTCTCTTTTCTTTTTTCCCCCCAAAGTGTATACTTTTTCCTTCTGTCCAGGTAAAATCAAAACGATGTAGAGTGCAGATTACATTCTTTAGGGATCAGTTAGGTTCATATGCAAACTGGAGGGAGCTGAGCTTGGTTTTATCTCACTTTAGGCAATTCATGACAGCTGAAGTCAGTACTATTGGGTAGTAATCATTCAGACACATCACCAGTGAATTCTTGAATGATAGCTGTGGACATAAGGGTGAGTCTGCACAGGGAGATGTTAAGATTGTTAGCACATCCTCCAGCTGGTTTGTGCATTCCCATAGACCACAAAATAGAATGTCTTCACCACCCATTGCCTTGTGATGCTTCACTTCATCTGTGATTAGGCAGGGGGCCTGTTCATCTTTCTGCGATGATGAGATAATCACAGTATGTATGAAGGTTTCTGGGTCTATAAGAGAGGATTCTATGGCTGTTGTAATTTTGCAAGGTTGGCTGGTGGTTGGCTGCGTTTCTTATTGATATAATTTTTTCTGTTTATAGATACATGTAATTTTTCTATCATGTGTAATAATCTACTTTCCTCCTTTTCTCAGGTGCGTGTCTTAGCTACATACAGTGAAACTGAGCAACTTTGCTATTCTTATCAATGCTTAGTCTAATAAACTGTGGTTCAAACATATATACAAATAACAAAGCAAGGAAGTCACTGCTATGACTGCTAGCAGCTATTAATGGCTGAAGAAGTGCATACAATTAAACAGGGATGTTTTTCTTTGTTCAAACAAAGTGAATACACAGTTTTAATCATTGAGGAAAAAATGCCATTTTTCTATCCACAGGTAGAATTTGTCTTGCTTATCACCAAAAATTAGCAGTCTTAATTTATTACCTGTGTAAAGGCACTGTCCCTTATTTTCAATAAGTAAGTGCATATCTGCTATAAGCAAATGTGACATTGCCTCCATAAATTTAGTAGAGGGTCATGGTATCTGTATATTCCTTAGTATCAATACTAAAGTGGCTGTAAAACTAAACATGTTCCAGCATTCTTAAAGCAGTTGGGTAGTGTTTCTAGGGCTCTCTCAGACTTCCCTACAATTCTCTGGCAGATATGTCCATTTCAGAACTGCAGTGTAAGACAAATGAACATTTATGAACTTACGATATATGTCATCGCCATGCACAGTGCTGTGAACAAAATCTATTGTCTTGTCTCCTTTAGTTGCAAAATTCACATGCTGGGATCACATAACATGAAAGGTTACAAGTTTTTGCACACAAGCATGGACACAGTTGCAAACACAAAATTAAAAATGAGCACGTGTGTTCATACAGACGCACATAAGCATGTGGATACAGTTTACATACACACACTAACAGGACACGCCTGTCAGTTTGAGAAAGTGAAGAAAAGAGGGATCCTCATTTAGATGTGAGTTATTCATGCTCATGTTGTTGAATTATTTATGCTATTTATGCTATTGTGATGTCAGGCTGTCTTTGAAGGAAGTTTATTTTGGATTGAGCTGGCAGCCTGTCAAGGCACAGGAAGTCAGAGTCTGAAAATATATGTGCGTGTGATGGCAAGAGTTGCCAGCAACCCTGATGCCGTTGCTGTGCTGTGCTGACACTGAGGGTGGGCGTCAGGTAATCATCCTCAAGACATCACCTAGGCAACTGGACTGTCGCTAAGGGAGACAGTTGAGGCACACCCCTGTCAGTGCAGGATGACAGGGTGTCCCTTCAGGACAATCAACCTGGAGAAACAAGTGTGTGTGTGTGTGTGTGTGTGTGTGTGTGTGTGTGTGTGTGTGTGTGTGTGTGTGTGAGTGGAGTGAGTGAGAGGGAGAGATAGCAAAGCTAAAGCTAAAGCTATCTAATTCACACAGAGAGACTGAACTAAACATGGAAGGACACACTTGAAAATAATAATAGTATAACACAGTTTCAGAAGCAACCCAACCCAAGTCTTGTAGCTAACAGATTAATTGTTTGTTTGCTTGCTTGCTTGTTGCTTGGCCAGTCCTCACTCTTCTAAATACCTTCAGAGTTGTTTGAAGATAAGAACGTCATAAAGGTTAGGTTAAGCTGTAAAATTTAGGGTTAGTTCAATTTAATTAAGATTATTCTGGGGAAAATAGACTGACATATACTCAAACACACCCAGCTATCACCTTTATCTGACCCATCTCAGCCAAAGTGAGAAATGACAACATATGTGCCCCTCTTGCACACACATGCATGTGGGGCAAACTCTCTTTGAAGTCCAATGCCAAAGTAATTGTGTGACATGAGAGAACAGAGAGAGAGAAAAAGAAAGAAATAATGGATTTCAGCCCGGGATGAGTAGTATCAGGTCAGGAGGTCAATGCACATGTACGTATCACACAAACTGGGGAGCCAAATGAAACAAAAAAGAAAAGAGATAAAAGACGGAGAGACAACATAATGGAATAGGCAGCAGATAGGGCGAGAAGCAGAGCAAAGAGAGAGCGGAGGAAACCGGAAAAAAGAAACCTCAACCATACTTTTAGATAAGATGAGAGCTTGTGTCTGTGAGCTGTACGGCCTAAAGACAAAGCTACATTAAATCTGTGGCTCGGGCAGGCCACAACAGAGAATGATGTACTACGTTTGCCCCAAGCTGCTGCTCTGGCTTTATTATCGCCTGTGTACCCTTCACAAACTGATTATACCACACCTCCTCTCAGCAAACTGAATTTGTTCGCCTATTCTCTGGGTGCATACAAGAGAGAAAAAGGGAGCAAGCGAGAAAGAGAAAGAGAGAGAGAGAGTAGGAAGACTCTCAGACAAAGATGAACAATTCATCTACTCCGGGAGCTTTGCGATCTAACAGACAGAGAGAGAAAAACAGAGTTACAAATAAATCACAGCTTGATATCTATAATAAAGTGTTGTCAAAGATACACTTGGATGTTTTGGTGGAAAAAAAAGGGGGGGGGAAAAGACAGGTAAGGAAGGAAGTTGGGAAAATTCGGGTAACCTTCACATCATACCTGAAAACAACTAATTAAACAAATTAGCCAAACCCATCTTTGTCTGCGTTCTGCTTTATGTCAGTGAGAGACAAACTAATGAGAAACCATTTCATCTTTTTCATTAGAGGTGCACTAATTAATTGATTCAAATTGTTAAGCTGGGTCTCACATCGAAGCCACTGCTGTATCATTGCACACAGCTTTCAGAGAAAAAGTAGGAGGGAAATAAAGTTAAATTAATGTGACGTTCAATCATAAAAACTGAGCGGGAAATGACTGTGTTTCACTGTAGTACTCAATAAAGGCACTTATTAAATGACTGTTAGTCTACAGTAATGTCTTTTCAAAAACTTCTACAAACCTCTGCTTGTCGAGACTGCAGACTAACAGACGGCTTATAGTTTTTTCACCCATCAAAAAAAAACAAAAAACTCTACACTACACACTAGAGATACTAATTACCATGAAAAACCTTGCTATCGGCTTAGGTACCTATTTACTACTGATACCAACAGTGTCATCTTTGCCTCCTCCATCTGAAACACAAATATATACAGCAGTGCTGCAGACAGGCAGGCACACAGCCACTCCCCTCACTAGTAGTTGAAGTAGTGATGTTCACAACACTGACAAACAGTGTCGGAGGAATTTCATTGGGGTCAGTGAAGCTCCTATTGAAATATTTAACAGACAGCATTAACTTTCGCCGTTTAACTATTAGCACCTGACAGTCAGATTACCCGTCTCTTAATTTAACATTAAGGTAGCGGTTAATAATGAAATGGTAACATTAATGTGGCAGCTAGGCAGCACATGTTATCAGACACAAGTATTAGTGTCTAAAAAATACTTGTGGTGGCTCAAGAGTTGGGTGTTCGTCTTGTAATCGGAAGGTTGCCGGTTCGAGCCCCGGCTCGGACAGTCTCGGTCGTTGTGTCCTTGGGCAAGACACTTCACCTACCGCCTACTGGTGTTGGCCAGAGGGGCCGATGGCGCAATATGGCAGCCTTGCCTCTGTCAGTCTGCCCCAGGGCAGCTGTGGCTACGACTGTAGTTTGCCTTCACCAGTGTATGAATGTGAGAGTGAATGAATAGTTGAATAGTGGTATTGTAAAGCGCTTTGAGGGGTCCCGAAAAGCGCTATATAAATCCAATCCATTATTATTATTATTATCATTACTAACTCTGTTTGATCAGCAATGAAATATGGTGCCAAGTTATGAGAAGCACAGAAAACAAACAGACCTGTAGGTGAATACATTTACATGGGCCAGGATTTATATTTCTTTTATTTTATTTTATTACTACTTTTTTTCACCATAGTATCAAAATGGTATTAAGCATTTTCTTAGGTATCGTTATTGAGTTTGAAATGCTAGTATCATGACAACCTTATACAGTGCATCAAGGAACCTGGGTTCTGTGACCAATATATGGTAAGAAAATTAACTTTCTAACTGATCCTAAGTGGCAGAGTTCTTGCTTCCCATCGTTTCCAGTATACAAAAGCCAAAGGTGATCAGAACAAAGGTGTTTTACTCTAACAAAAGGAGTCAGCACAGAGAAAACTGCTCAATGGAACCCCTGCACAAGGACAACACATTGCAAATAATTGCTAATCATCAGTGGTCTTTCTGAAAATTAACTACTTCCGATCTAAATTAAAATTAGAAAATATGTCTGAATATTATGTTTTTTAAAGAGATCATGAGATACCTCTAAACAAAGACACCCAGAATAAACTATTCATTTTCACACCATAGTTAGGCAAGCAGTTGCTCTCCTACCTTCACACTATTCCCCATACTATAAACAACCTCTTACTTCATGTACTTTTTTACAGCTTGCTCACACACAAATCAAAAATCTTTCTGAACTTACTTATAGAGTATGCTGTAATATGTCAGAAGCACAGAGCTTGAACAGAATTTTTGTGGCACAGTTGTGTGTCTGATTAAGGAACACAAACCAGAAAGTACAAAAAAAAAAACAAGAAAAAAGAAAGGGATAAAAGAAAGAGAAAAGTCTGTAATCCACAGTGTTGAAACACATGAATAACATTATTTATAGCCGGCCAGGTATCAGAAACACACACAAGCTGACGCTCGCATATCTTGTTGTATCCTAGGGCTGGTGGAGTGGTAAATGTTGCAGTATTTCAGCCTGACAGAAAACACTGTGTTTATGTGCTTATCATTTGAAAAGCCTGGGCAAGAGGGCCCTCTTCCCATACTGATAGCTTCTTAATTAGACCTAGACTTCCAGTAAGAAAAAAAAAACAAAAAAAAACATGCAACACCTTTCCTGAAGCGATAAACACGTTGCACTTCCAGGTGGTGATGTATGAATCAAACCAATAGCAATCCATCATGAGAAATGAGTGCCTCTCGCCATACTCTTAATCACTGATAGTGTAATTAGCTCTGCTGCTTTTTAAGTGTATTTTCACATGTGTGTGTGTGTGTATAGTTTTTGAGTGGATATTATTTAAAGGATTCAGTGCATAAAATCCATATTTTGCTCTCACTAGGGCTTTCCCTGAGCTGTATAATATACTAATAATATTACACGGTTCTCCATAACTATACATAGGTAACACAACTGAGAGGTATTAATGAACATCTCATTAATATCCAGTGTTTGTTTTCAGGCTATAAATTAATTTTCTGTTCATAAAAGTAGGAATGGCTCACAATAATGAGCCAGGTATGTACAGTATATATAATTTAAAGGTGTTTGTGTGACTACAAAGGTCTCGTTGTCAAGAACACATGAATAACATTATAACCAAACTCAGCTGGACTTTTGGTAAATAAAAAATCTAGAATATTTAGGTTTTAAATGTTTAAAGGTATTATGCAACATTCAGAACCAATGGATGTTGCACTAGAGAAGAATCTCACACCAAAACAAAGTGAAGCAAAACAAAAATAGTCAAACTGAAGCCTTTTAGCAGCTCACAGGGCTCTCGATCTTAAAAGCCCAGACCAATGTTGACTCTGCTTTTATCTCTTTCTTTGTTGGAGGACTTTTTAGCCAAAAATTGTGATTTCCTGTGTCTAGCGAGATCTGAGTTGCCTTCGATGGGAATACAACTGTACACTTACATCTCATTTTTAAGAGAGACTGTGACTTTGGTAAACCAATACTGAAAATTAAACCCTATAAACAAAAAACCTCAAACAAAATATATTTAATTATCATCTATATAAACCTGATATTTTGGAGCTCTTTTTTTTTCTTTTAACATGACAGATAATAACTTAGCATTTCTGACTAGCAGGCAGCTGCTTCCATCTCTTTAAAGAGTGATTTTCAGAGACACTGAAGTTCTTTTTCACTGTTACCACTTTCTCACTGCCCTGTCCAATTAAAATTAAATAAGAATATAAGAAACTTATTTATAGAAAGAAATGAAAGGGTGCAAATAGCGTTGTATATGCTGCCAGTGACTCTCTATATCCACTTTCAGTTAATCTAAGTAGTTGTGACAGTTAATGACATGGTGGAAACAAATATAGACCTAACTAAAAATATTACATAAATAATGGGTTCAACAACATCCCATCAAGATAAATCCATCAAGGACAGACAACATCAGGACTTTGATTATAATCAAAGTAAGGCGAAAATATAAATGGGGCTAATGGCCAGTGATTTATCTCTTTCAAAGCTAATTTTAACATCAAAAATGTTCCCACTGTATTTTTTTCTCCTTCATTTTACTGTTGCTCATTCTTATGTCTTGTGCATCGTCTCTCTGATGTCGGGAATGTGAACCAGCAAAGGTTGCTCCACTGACCTTTTGCATGGGCATGAGCTAACTTCATCTATGACTGGCTTTTTCAGTTCCCTGACTGCTTCTTTATTCCTTCCATAGCAACCTTTTCTTGACCTTTATAGTTAGAGAAGTCGCAGACCTCCCACTCTCTCATTTGGTGTCTACCTCTATCTGTCTCTATTACTCAGTGTCTCTACTTTCTGTGTTGCCTGCTTTTTTACAGCTGCTGCAACTTCTCTGCCTCTTGCACTACCTCATGTCTCTCCATTAGTCACCTGCTGTGTCTACGAAGTTGCTATATTTATTCCCCTTTTTCTAGTTTCCCTCTTCCATTTTTTCAGGATGCTTTCTTGTGACATTTTGACATTTTTACACTTTTGCTTTTATTGCATAGTGGCAGTGGAGATAGATAGCAAGTGTGGGAAAAAGTGCAGGGGAATGACATGCAGTCGAGTTGAACTGGTGCATTTTTCACATATGCTCCAACCATTTCACTATCTAATCTCTGCATTCCCTTTGTGCCCTCATCCTGACTCTTTAAATCTTACCCAATATAAGTTAAGAAAGTTGCCATCCCAAAAATAAAATACTGGCATCCACCAGTGCTACCCCTCAGCCTACTAGTGGATACACCTATGGTGTCAATTCCAAAAGTTTTAGGTCAAGGTCACTGAGATTCAAACTCATCTAACATTTTCAGTACATACACCTAAGTTATGTACTGAAAGCTATTTTGCCAAATAAATTTAGCACCATCTTTGATATATAGCTGTTTCACATCCACATAGCTGACAGGAGATTTTATTGATGTTTTGTCTGTGTTTTACTTAAGGTTTCGTTGTACTACTGGTCACTTTGTTAGAAAGAAAAGAAAAAAAATATTTTCAGTTATATGAGTAAATAATAGTATGTGAAAAATACTCAGTCCTCTTTTTTATGTATACCTTTTGAACTACTTGTTAATGCAAATAATGCAATCTAATCATTTAAGCATGTAGATATGGTCAAGACAACCTGTTGAAGTTCAAACTGAGCATGAGAATGAGGAAAAGAGATGCTTTAAGTAACTGGGATTTTCCCACACATCCATTTTCGGGGTTTACAAAGAATTGTCCAAAAAAAGAGAAAATATCCAATTGGCAGCAGTTCACTGGGAAAAAATTCCTTGTTGATGTCAGAGGTCCAAGCAGAATGACTAGACTGCTTTGATCTGATGGGATGAACTCAAATAACCACTTGTTACAACTAAAGTATGCGGAACAGCATCTCTGAACACATAACACATAGGACCTTGAAGCAGATGGGATACAGCTGCAGAAAACCACACTGGGTGGCATTCCAATTCCAATTCCAAACTGTAAACCATTATCTAGTTTTACGAGTCTCAACTACTTCTGCAACATTCGTAATAGTGTGGACCATATTTGTACCTAATAATATGGCTAGAGGACTTTTCAAGACTAAATGTGAATGGAACCAGGCTGCCGTAGTACTTGTTACAATAATGTGTTAAATTGCTAAATGGGATGATGAATGAAGGTTGTTCATGTGGTTTCCCATAGTTATTTATTTATTTATTCACCTTTATCTAAACAACTGAAAACACCCAGAAAAAAACCAATGTCAAGTAAAGAAAATACTCCACAGACAACATAAGGAGAAGTCTCTCTTCAGTAAGCTGAAACTTGATTCAGGAAAACAAAATTCCCTCTTCTGTGTTTTGTGCTACAGCTCATGCTTATTCACTACACTATCTTCCGTTCCCCTCTCTCGACCTCTCTTGTGTTTTCCCTGGCGTCTCACTTGCATTTTCACTTTTCGATTTCTCCAAATCACTGCTCTTCTAGGATACAGACTGTAAGACTAATACTCACCCTCTTTCCGCCTTCTCTTTACTGATGCTGTCTTTCAGCCGTTGCAGTTTCTCCTCCATCTCCCTGCTCTCACTGGCCAGATTCGTGGTCTCCATTTGCAGTTCTTGCAAGTTCCTATGTTAACACAAACACACCCACATATAAGCAATCAATTAACAACAATCAATCATACAAAGGGCCTACTCCGTCAGATTGGAGAGCAAGGCTTTCATCAATAACTTCAATTTATTTTCACCACTAGCAGATCTCTGAATAATCAATACATGCAATCAATTAGTTACTGGATCAGGGCATCACCAAGTCAGGCATTAATTTATTCAATTACCGGTTGGCAAATGAGAAACTAGAGTAGGAGTATTGAGCAATATTAGTAAAAAACAGAGCCTACCAAGAAACACAGGCACCACCTCACAACAGTTACCTTGCTTGAAAGTCCATTTTGTGAAATAGCGATTCTCTGGATAGAATTTGAATGGTTACAGATGAAAATAGGATGGGAGCCAAGGAACAATAATGGGCTTCTACCGAATGCCTTAAATCACATCATTGATCTTATCTCATCTTACCTGGCATTGAGCTTGACAGATTTGGCCTTGTTGTTAGGAAGCACCACAAAGTCATTTAAATTCATGGCTCTTCTTTCTGGTGGCTCAGGTATTCTTCTCCAGTCTTTCGCTGTGCTTTTTACAAAGAGTCTCTGCTGCAATAAAAACCCACAGTAATGGCATAAAACTGGATCTCATGCAGGGCCCAAGTTAAATCACACACAGCCATAAATGAATACTGCCACGGTGAAACGAGCAAAATAGCAGGGATGCATTTGCCCAGAAGAATAGGAAGTTAAAACAAGCAATCACGTATATTTAAATTGCATCTGACGGATCTAAATGGATGATAAATGGTTTGGGGGCAGTAAAAGACGACTAAGAAAATTAGCCGATAAGGCAGGTTTGATAAAAGCAATACAGCCACACCTGCTAGAAACTCAGTAGGTAGAAAAAGTGACATTAGACGAGCCATTTTGTTCAAGGTGGGTAGTCTCTTAGCAAAAACACTGACATTTCACAGGCAATTTAAAAAACATAATCGTATATCCATAGGGTAACATTGATGAAAAGCCGCAAACACACCTATCCCAGAACAGATGGTTTTTGGGGATTTGGGTTTTTGGGGGATTTTTTTTTGCTTTTTCACTTGAAGCAAATTTGTAAAAGATTCAATGCCAGGAGGAGACACAAATCCCTTCAGGGTTGCATCAGGAAGGACATCGGGTGTAAAGATCTGCCACATAAAACATGTACAGTGGTTAGCACTGTTGCCTCACTGTGGCTGCAGTTAGTGGGGTTAGGTTAACTGGTGATTCTAAATTGACCATAGGCGTCAATATGTATGTGAATGTGAATGGTTGTCTGTCTCTCTGTGTTAGTTCTGCGACAGGCTGGCGACCTGTCTAGGGTGTACCCTCCCTCTCACTCTTTAACAGCTGGGATAGGGTCCAGCCCCTACTCCTGTAATCCTGGTGGAAAGTGGAAAAGCATGGATATGTGAATGGATAAAACATGCAGTGACCTCTTGTAAATAAGGGAGCAACTGCAAGGAGCTATAACGAAGCTGAGTTAAATCAAACGCCCACTGAGGACACACCAGCACAATGATCCAATTTGCCTCCAGAGTATGGAGTGTATTCAGTGAATCCCACATCTGCCACAAACCAATGACATATGTTCACGGACAGACAAAATTAATTAACGTTAAATGTGATTTGACTGTAATTCAATACCAATAATAATAATAATAGTAATAATAATAATAAAAAATAAATAAAAAGGTGTTGAACACTTCGCAAAAAATGTTGAAGTCATATAGGATTTTGACAGCAGGCAGGGGGGGGAAACAATCCAGTCACCATTACGAGGGTATGACGTATGCTCCTGTAAGCTCATGTTAGACAGCGACAGTTTTTACAAAGGGTTTAACAGAGAGTAGCTGGTCTAGAGAGAGACATTTGACTGGGTGAAGCTAAATTTACTGTCTCCTCCGAGCCGTATAGTAAAGATGACACACACACGCACACACAGTAATGCATTTGTTCACACCACACATTTTCTCTTGTAGTGTCAGCAAAAGCGCAGGTGTACTAAATCCCATTAATTAGATTAGCTTCTGGTATTTTTCATGCTGGCTCACCGGAACAACTTACTGGGTCATTAATGGAACTCTTAATGTTTTTAATCCCCCCTGTGCTTTTCCTACGAGACAAAATGTCTACTGTGAGACCGGTTTATTTAATATTAAGACAGTAACCGTGAAGCTCATGTGGCATGTGACGGTAACTGTAGAACAGGCTAACTTAAACTTCACAGGCTGCTGAGAATATGAAACTTACCCAAATCGCTCCGCGGTTCTTTTTAGAGTTATCTGCTTCTGATAATTTATCAACCTTTTTTTTTAGTTGTTAAGCCATAAGGTCACATTTACATGACATTTATTGCAGGTTTTCGTCAGGAGCGCTTCTCGTCTGTAGTCGAAATGTTTCTGTTAGGTTACTATAGCAACTTACACCTGTCTCGCGATAGGTTGACGGCGGGTGAGTTTACTGGAGGCGGTTTTTCTCTGTACATCTGTGTTTGTTTGTGTTTTGGTTAACTTTTTCCCCGTTTGATATATTTAAAAAAATGAATTAGGCCGTGTGTATGTGCTTTTGTTTGTTCCGGGAATAAGCATTGGATTCAAAGGCAGCAAATTCCCCTATTGCTTTGATAATCATGGGTAGTGGGAATTCCCGTCTAATTAAAATCCTTAAAGCATCAAGATAAAATTTTATAGCACTGATTAGAGCTTTGAACCCTCGTTATTTTTTTTATTTTTTTTTTTTTTAGCTGACTTTGGAGTTGTCTTTAGTAATCCAAAGACGATGATGTTTAAATATTTCATGTTGACAAGCATTAGAGATCAGAAGCAAAATAATTTCCCATTAGCCCATAAGATAAATGTGCTGGGTTGAATTTGGTAAGACCAAAGTGAGGAATATAGTTTGTGTCCCCGCAAGAGTGCTTATTTGTAAGCAAGAAACATAAGTCACTATGTAGCCACTTATTACATTGCTACATGTAAAATACAAACCTGATGGAGTTCTAACATTACAATGTTACTAACAAGAAGGTTAAATGCCAGGTTAAAATAGAGTACATATTACATCATACATACCACAGGTAATATATGTGTAGCCTATAAAGGATCAGCAGCACCAACTGTGCATCAGAACAGAAAAATCTTGTATTAATAAAGTGAAATTCTACATGTGATGCGTCTGCCTTTTTAAAATAATAACTGTATTATTGATTGTCATTATCATTATATGCCTTTGAGATGCTCTTGCCCGTAACAGTACAGCCAGGCATTCATCCAGCCTCATTTGTATTCCAGGACAATAGAAAATATTTGACTCGTCTACAGCAAGCGATTCCTCCACCTTTACTTTTTCTTTTTTCCTTGCGTCTTTATCCTACCATGCCATCCTTTTCCAAACCACAGGACAATTATGGTTTAGCACACCTCCACCTCATTCCTAAATCCTTTCTCTCTCGTTTGCTTGTACTCCCTCCTTTTGTCTGTTTCCCTCTTCCTACATTGTTGGCATATGACCTATTGCTCCTGCCATCAGGAAAGTGTGGGTGTATGACTTATTGTACACGTGCCTTTGTGTGTGTGTGAGGGGATGGTCATTTAGGGTCGTGACCCTCCAGCTGGATCCTGTCTCGGCTGCTAAACAGTGACTCCCTCCCTCTCCCGTTCTCTCTCAGCTCTGCCTGCACAGACACCAGGGTGTGCAGTGGCATACCGATGAGTGGACGGATGAGAGGAAGAGAAAGCAGGAGTGGGGGGGAGGGGGGG